ACAGTTTGTGGCTTTCAGGATATTTCTACTACCTCAATTTAGCACATAAGGTCTGCACTGACCTAGCCCCCACCAACCTAACTTGCACCATTTCTGGTTTTACAGTAGAAATGTACTCAACCACCTGCATCTTACTTCAAAATGAATGATTTTTTTTGGTGTAACTCCATACCTTTCCATGTATTTTTCCCCCTTTTTTTCTTCCTATAATACTGAATCCTAATAATTCTGAAAACACACACAGTCTTTTTAAGTGGCATCTCTTTCATTGCTGAAATCCATCCCAAACATTAGAAAGTGTATTTTACTCAGTTGGTAACTTCATCCATAAAATAGAAACACCATAACCTACTTTCCACATTTATTTGAAAGATAAAATGAGAAAAAGTACATCTAATAGCATAGCTGGCACAGGATGGAAGCTAAATAGTTAGCAGCCTCTACCACATAATACACTTTATTAACTATCTGTCTTTCCGCTAGACCAGGCTTTCTCAACCTCACAAGTACTGACATTTTGGGCCAGGTAATTCTTTGTTGCAGGAGGCTGCCCTGTGAACTGCAGAGCATTGAGTGGTACCCATGGCCTCTGTCCACTAGATACCGGGAGCACCGTAATATCCAAAATGTCTCCAAACACTACTAAAATATTCTCTAGTAGGCAAAAATCATCCCTGGTAGAGAATCATTGCACTGCACCATAAACAACTCCAAGGACAGAAACTAATTATTACTTGTTATTTTGTCTCTAGGTATCTAGGATTGAAGTCAGCACACAGTAGGTGTTCAATAAATGCATATCTCTAGCACTATAGATTAATTTTACCTATTTTTTGAAAAGCCTGTAAATAAACACATTATTTTATAGCCCCTTTCATTGTCAGATTATGAGATTTATTTACCATGCTTCATGTTGCAGTTCATCTCCAGTTCTCCATATACTTTTTTAGACACTACTGTTTGGACACTTGAGCTGTTTCCAATTAGGAGCTAGTATAATTAGTGTTGTCATGGTTTTGGTTACAAGTCAGCATTACCAGTTTTGTTGAAGGAGGAGAAAGGGGAGTAACTGGTAAGGAAACAATGAGGGTTCTCGGGGGTGCTATTAACATTTATTCTTGAGTAGTGGTACCATATATGTGTCCACTTTGTGGTAATTCATTGAATGCTCCATTTATGATCTGTGAATATGTAATTCTCTTTTACACTTTATTTAAAGTTTTTATTTATATTACTAAGGAAACAGTTGTGCAAACAGATGAAGAAAGAAGGCCAAAGATTCTGGCAAATACTCTATAATGCCAATATTCATGTGAAAAATAAATGGTTACCTTCATTTGTATTACAGAAAAGCATATTAAAAGAAAAAAGTGTGTCTTATACTTTTTGTCACTAGTAACCATTGTTGGTGAGAAGCAAGGATAAATGTCTGCTATTAGTAAATATGTAAACAGGCAGAACTTTCCCAGAAGACCATTTGGCAATATATACGAAAAAGTCTTTGAACTATGCATTATGCTTGCATCTCAATTATATCTCAATAAAGCTGGAAAAATGTGCTATGTTTAAAAGTTTATCTTATGAAAATAAATCAGAAAAATGCATAAAACTACATATGTGTGTATAAGCAAAAGAATTTATATACAAGGAAATTCTTCATATAACTGCTTATGATGGTAAAAACTGAAAGCAAATTTTCAGTAGATAATTAGCTAGATATATTATGGTTATCTATTCAGTAGAAAATATGCACTCATATTTAGTGACAAGGGAAAATGTTCATAACACATCAAGTAAAAACAAATTACAAGACAGGATGAAACATTTGTAAGGAAAGAAAGACATAAACATGCACAGAAACAAAATGTCAAGAAAAGAAGCCAGAATATTAGTCAGCCATAGAAAAGAACAAAATAACGCCACTTGCAGTGACATGGATGGATCTAGAGATTGTCACACTGACTGATGTCAGACTCAGGAAGACAAATGTCATATGATGTGGCTTATATGTGGAAGCAGAAAAGGGTACAAGTGAAGTTAGTTACAAACCAGAAGTAGTCACAGATGTAGAGAACAAATTCAGGGTTGCCAGGGGATAAGTAAGGGGAGGAATAAATAGGGAGATTAGGATTGACATATACACACTCCTATAGATAAAATAGGTAACTAACAAGAACCTACTAATAGCACAGGACACTCTTCTCAAAACTGTAATGGCCTATATATGGCAAAAGAATCTAACAAAAAAGAATGGAGTGTATCATCCTCTGTATAAAATATAAATAACATGCAACATATGCCAAGTACCTATGAAAAAGCCAATATTACTAAGAACAAACCGTGGTCATCTGGAGTCATATACTAAGAATTAAGAAATAATCTTCCACTTTCACTTTGCTTCAGAGGAGCCTTGTTCATAAGCACTTTCTGCTTGTACCAAATAAGTAATGATTTCTAGGTCAGTAAATTGCAACATTGATTGCATTCACTTACAATAAGTATAACCATGGCAAACTCATTTTCACATGGAGATTCTCTTTCTAAGCCTGATTTACAGTCACTGCTCTCCTCGCCATTTCTGAGAAAAGGGATCACCTTAGCCCAAATGTCTGTGTTAGCCCCTGTCTCAGAGTGTCTCTTTAAGGAAGACTCTGTTGGTAGGCTGAGATATGGTTGAATGACTACCTATCCCAGTTTGCCCAAGACAGTCCTGGTTGACACCCCATGTCCCTGCAGAGTTGTTAAGAGCAGTTGTTAAGCTGCTTTCAGTCCCCAATGTCCCAGATGGAGTAAAACATCAGTGGTCACCCTGCTGTCCATACACAGTGTATAGAATGCTAAGCATAGAACTTGGAATAAATGCCGAGCCATCTGAACTCTTGTCTCATCTTCCCTCTGCACTGTTAGTCTAGAATAAACACCCACACAGACCAGTCATGGGCTCAAATCCCCACCGCCACCACATAGGTGGTCTAAAGCAATCTGAACAGGAATCCACTTCAAGTTGGCCCCATCCTCCTATGGGTGGTTCAAAAACTATGAGAATACACATTATTAGCTACCTCAAATCATACACTTTAAGGATAAGGCACATATTTGAAAAATTTGATCAATGTATAGATACTTTGGGGGAGCTGTGTCTGTCTAGTTATTAACCCAAATAATTCTATAAAATGGAAGTATCAATACATGAAAAGTTCCTGAAAGACTATATATTTCTATCTGTGCTAATGGCAAAACTATTCACCCAGTCACCTTAGCCAGAAACCCTATGATCAAATTTGATTCTCTCTTCACTCTGTGAAATTAGTTACTTACTAAGTCTCATTGATTCTAAATCTCTGAAATTCACTACCCACAAACTTTTCATCAGAACAAGATTTCTCATCTGCAATTGTTACAGTAGCCTTCTCCAACTCATTCCTGCACTTCCTCAAGAATTATCTTAAATAAAGCAATTGCTTTAGTTCACAGCCACTCAAAACCCTCAGATAACATCCAGACTTCTTAACGTGGCACTCAAGACCTTTTTTGTTTGCACTCAAACCTCCCTCTTCATCCTCAATTCCAACCATTCCTCACACAAAGCACATACTACTCAGTGGTTCTCCTCCAGGGATGGTACTGCTCCCCTAGGAGGCGTTGGGAAATGTCTGGGGATAACTTTTATTGTTGTGGTGATTTTGGGGGAATGAAGATTATTTAAGGAGCAGAGACTAAGAATGCTCAGTGACCAGCAGTGCGGGACTTGTGCCTTGTCAAGATGCCAACAGTACCACAAATGAGACCTCTCATTGCCCAAACACATTATGTTTTTAAACATGTTGTTTCTTCCTCCCAGATTCTATTTAATCTTCCTCTATTAGTTGTGCCTCCTTCCAAAATAACATTGCCCTTGCATGATAAAACTCAAACACTCTTCTTACCTAAAGACCTCAGCTGATTTAATAGTCATGCACCATGTGTTAGAGGTAATTAAGTCACTCCCATAACACACTGGTTGCCTGCTGATCCACTGCTTAGTACATTGAATTATGATTAAACTTCTTACCCATCTGTCATTTCACTCCATGTTCCCCTTCTCCTTACCCATTCTATCCTCTAAAATTTGTGCTCCTTAAAAAAAAGGGATGTTCCTTTGTTATTGCATTTTTTTAAACTCCAATTTCTACCATTTACCTAGAAGTTGAGAATCATGCTATAATGATAAATGATTTGGGGATTAAAAAATTGTACTTACATTCCTATCCATAGAGTGACATCCCCTAATGACCTTTTTGTTTGTAATTCCTAAACTTAGAATACTTTGAAGTAAACTAAATATTTTCATGACATCTTTTATCAGTAATGGTGCTTTAAATTAATGTATTAAATTACAGATTTAGACTAATTCAGGTATTACAAACTTAAGTATAAGAGGAAAAAGAAGCTGCAGACACTGTGGTAAAATTCAAGAGGATGTTCCCAATATAAAGGTATTTAAAGTCTTTTATTTTTTGATAAGTGCTAAGCAAGTATGTCTTACAAAGATCTGCCTACCATGTTTGTTTCCAAGATACATGTTATGAAAAAGTACTTATGTAATCTTAAAGTATGTGTACAATATTCATTGTTTAGTCACTGAGTCATGTCCAACTCTTTTGTGACCCCATGAACAGTAGCCTGCCAGGCTCCTCTGTCCATGGAATTTTCCAGGCAAGAATACTGGAGTGGGTTGCCATTCCCTTCTCCAGCAAATCTTCCCAACCCAGGGATCTAACTCATGTCTCCTGCTTTGCCAAGTGGATTCTCTACCACTTAGCCACCAGGGAAGCCCCATGGACAATACATTTCTATACAAAAGATAAAGTGTTCTTTCCCACCCCACTCATTTTTTTAAAGTTTAAGCTTAAACTATTTCTGTAGTATATTAAAAACATACTTAATCAAAGTTTTCAACTTTTAACTCCCCCTAAGTTGCATAAGCAGTAAAATAGGGTGGACAAAAGTCAACTGCTTACTTGCACATCTGTTCATATCTGGGGCTCGGTGTCCATAGTATCCGGATGGGCAGGAATGCAGACATTCTCCATACTGGCGCATGCCTTCTCTTCGAAGAAAGAAGAATAACTTCTGTTGACATCGGCTGCACCCATTGTCCTTTGAACAAGACAAGCAACCCTTGCAAATGGGATTTGATACATAACTAGCTGTAAAAGAAGAAAGAATGCATACTTAAATATGAATGTGGTCAGACTTCTGGTCAGCACAACATGCTGAAAAGACAAGTGTCTCCTTTCCTTCTGCTCTAATCATACAGAAATGCTAAGCAAAAGAACTCTTGCCATTTAAAACAAACAAAAAGCTTAAAGCACAACCAAACAGCAGCAATGAGGAAACCCAGAGGCAGACTTGAGGCTGAAAACTCAAACTAAATGGCTGGAGATGCTGAAGCAGACAGAGGCAGATCTCATGGCAGAGTCCCGAGTCCAGACCAAGAAAACATGCATGGCAAATAACATTGCTGTAACATGAAACTAACAGTATTGTGAGTCAACTATACTTCAATATAAATAAATAAAGAAGTATGCATGTAAAGAGTTAACATTTGCTCTGTGTAGACTGGAGTCATGAAGGCTGTTTGTCAACGAAACAAGTATTAGAAGCCCCAACTCCAACTGGCCAGAGAAAACGTTTCCAACCCTGGATTAGGGGGCATACAGGAGGAGAGAAAAATATAGCCCATGAGAAATAACTACACCAAATCTACAAGACATCCAAGTGATCTGATCAAAGTTCAGATCATCAATGTAGTATGGGGTTTCTAAGTCAAGAGATTAGATTCAGGAAAATCCACAAAGGAAAAAAAAAAAGTATGAAATGACAAACGACCCTACAGAAATTTTCTACAACCCTGACACGTGGGACTTTCAAGGAAAACCACCTTAATAGCAAAATGAACAAATCACATGTGCAAGAAAACCCCAGGAGAAACATCAGTCTGAGTAAGAGATTTTATACCTAAAGAATAAAAAAGAACAATATGAAAATAATCTTAAAGTGAGTATCTTTAGAGTATTGGAAGGGATGGAATGACTGGAAATCACGCAGGAAGAAACAGTATCATAAAATATGCAAATGAGAAAGAAATTAAAACTCTAAACGTGAAAAAAATTTCATGGACAAGTTGAATGGTAGACTGGGAGAGGGACTTAGCTAAAAAAAATAGGTTTAAAGAACTGTACCACAAAAGGTAAGAAACATGTAAGAAAAAAAATAGCATCTGAAATATATAAACCTCATGAAGTTCACTACAGTTAGTGACAAAAAGGGTAATTAAAAGAAAACATTCTGTTTCTAGTCCTGGTATAAAATTCAAAAATGATACAACCTGAAATCCCAGTATAATTTCTAAAATATGAAAAATTCATGTAACTTTTAGTTATCCTTATACCAAGCAAGGTCATAAATACAGCAAGATAAATAAGGCCACACTGACTTCATCTTACTGAGTTAACCCACAAAAATCTTAAGAAGGAATAGAAAATTCATCAATTATTGAAACTTTTCACATTGAGACTACAATCCTATTTGCCCTACAATAATCTTTATTGAATAAGAAATAAACAGTATTCAGTATTCAGATCAGCAGCAATACAATGAAGTACACTGTATACCACACCTGTCCTTTACTTAAAATGATTCAGTACCCAATATATTTACTGCTACCTGGAGCAGTTCTTCCTAGGTTTCAGTTCCACAAACACTCTCTTCCCACTTCTCCTGGGTTCCCTGATTATTCTTACAGTCTCTCCTCCAGAGAGATCCCCCAAACAAGAGTTTAACCTAACATTTCAGAGAAGGAGCCAAAAAAGAACTAAGGTACTCAGGATCAGAAACCAAGGCCAAGATAACCATTTGAATTGGCCATTGAGATCTGCTTCTTACCACCTATTCTAGGACTTTATTCTATCAACTGTTCAACTGCTTTAATCTACATAGTGAATCTATTTTATGGACTTTTTCTTGCTTGCAAGCCTATCTATGCTTCCCAACTAATTTCTTATTTACCACTTATTTTCTTTAACCTGCAACTGTGGAGCAAAAAAAAGAACCAAATCAAGTGGAAAATCACCTCCTAGAATTCCTAATAAAATCATAACAAACTTTCCAGATACCGCTTTATATATGAACACTTATACAACATTTATAATATGTAACTGGGATTTTTCATAACTGTGATCAGACTTTACATGAAGTATGATAACTTGCTCAAATTTCATCAGGTCGTGAGCATCCTCTCCTACCAACGAACCAGACCAATATCACTCATGTTTCTTGGGAGTGTCAGTTTTATCTGTAGCCTCTACCTACCAACCAGAGAAGACAATGGCACCCCACTCCAGTACTCTTGCCTGGAAAATCCCATAGATGGAGGAGCCTGGTAGGCTGCAGTTCATGGGGTCTCAAAGAGTTGGACAAGACTGAGCGACTTCACTTTCACTTTTCACTTTCCTTCACTGGAGAAGGAAATGGCAACCCACTCCAGTGTTCTTGCCTGGAGAATCCCAGGGATAGCGGAGCCTGGTGGGCTGCCGTCTATGGGATCACACAGAGTCAGACACGACTGAAGCGACTTAGCAGCAGCAGCAGCTACCTACCAACACCGTCCATTTAATCATGCCCAACATTGTTTTTATGAAGACCACAACCAGTTTTTAGAGCCTCAATTCAAGACCTCAGTCTCAGTCTCTGGTCCTCCCAACTCCTGTGGCTGGGTCATTAATAAAAGTTTTCTTCCTCTTCTAGCTCCCATGATAATGTCTTCTGAAGATGTAATCTGAACCCTTATTCTTGTGATTTCCACTAATCTTGTTATAGGTCAGGCCCCTGCTACCTCTAGCTTAGACACCCTAGCTACCCCACCCTCTGCCCCACCTATCTTTCTCTACTCTCTCTATTCTACAATAGGGTCAGTTTTTCTGCTTTTATTCTCATCATAAGGTTTCCGTTATACCTTACTCTCATGAAATAATTACGATTTATAAAGCGTTTTCACATAGCTGACTGGAAATAAAAAGTGAAAGTGAATGTATTAGTTGCTCAGTCGTGTCTGACTCTTTGACACCCCATGGACTGTAGCCCGCCAGTCTCTTCTATCCATGGAATTCTCCAGGCAAGAAAACTGAAATGGGTAGCCTTTCCCTTCTCCAGGGAATCTTCCCAATCTAGGGATCAAACCCGGGTCTCCTGTCTTGCAGATGGATTCTTTACCATCTGAGCCATCAGTGAAGCCCCTGGAAATAAGCCTAGACTATTTACAATGTTTCCAGATGCCTCTGAAGAGGTTTTATTCTAAGATTTTGTTATTATTGTTCAGAGTAGGGTGTAAGGAATGAGTATATAAGTTTCAAAAACTGGGACACAGACTAACTTCCATGTAAGGAGGAGGTAAAGACAGAGTAGGGTGGGCAGGGTGTAGAACATGAGTGAAGGGAGCAGAATCAGAAAGACTCGGCAGCTCTATGATGGATGAAATGGCTTTGGCAGAGGAAGTGGTGACCGGGGAGAATCCAACTCATTTTAATTTTCAGGGCTGTCTAAGAACATAACCCACCTTAAGCAGAAAGACCCTTATGGCATGATATTTGGAGATGTAATTTATGACTCTCATGACTCTTGTGGGGAAAACCAAAAAAAAAAAAGCCTTTAAGTAGGAACAACCAGGAGACCAAGGCAAAGACAGGAGCCACTGGCTGGAGCTCAGCAACAGGCAGCCCCGCACTGCAGAACCCTCTGCAGTAGCTCACCCCTGCCTTTTGCTCTGCAGCTTAACTTCAAATATGAAAAGGTAATATCAAGGTTATCCAAATCCCAAACTTAGCTTCATAAGTAAAAAGAGAACTTGGGAGATTTACATATGTAGCAAAGTAGTTCAAGGAGAAGGTTCTCTGGACCACAGTCATCACAAAGTAAAAGTGAAGCTATACTTACTTTAAGTTCAAAAGTTAAACCCAGAGCTATCACTATAAATCACACTCCATAGTCAGAAGGATGGAGAAAAGAGAATTACAGAGCTAAGAGAATCATTATAAATTAAAGGCTTTTTGTTTTGTTTTGTTTTTATGTATCAGAAGTCAACTTTCATCTTGACCACAAAGATTGCAGAGTCAACAAACTTTACTCCACACTTTTTAAAAGGTATTCTTAAAATCAGTAAATGCACTGCTTTATTTACTTGAACTTTAACTGACAATGAAAATGAGGTAGGGAATACTTACCTGAGTCCATATCTTAGATATCTTTAAAACCCTACATAAGAGGAACCCTCTTAAAACAAAAGTGATATGAGCCACACCCAGCCTTAAGTGCTCTCTCTTCCCTTGCCCCAACCTTCAGCAGTACTCCTCAAAGCTGAAGGATAAGAACGCATGTAATTTTTGCAGTTTGAAGCTTCATGGCCCAAACCTCAAACAAATTTTTTGGTTTAATTAACCACTGTCCAGTGTCAACTATCCTGGTCTCCTCTATGTTATAAATCAGCAGCTAAATTCAACAAGAACTTCTTCATCCATCATATGGTGACTACACCAATCTCTGGGCTTCCCTAATAGCTCACATGGTAAGGCATCTGCCTGCAATGCAGGAGGCCTGGGTTCAATCCCTGGGTCGGTAAGATCCCCTGGAGGAGGATGTGGCAACCCACTCCAGTACTCTTGCCTGGAGAATTCCATGGACAGAGGAGCCTGGCAGGCTAGAGTCCATGGGGTCACAAAGAGCCAGACATGACTGAGCGACTAAGACATACACACCAGTCTCTATATATCTAAAGCTAAGCAAAAATTAGACCTTTAAACATGACTAGAGTAATTTATTTTGTCAGGATCTTAATAAGTCAAATGGCTCAGCCTATTTCTATGAGATTTAATTCAAGTGTGCAGGTGAATAAACAGATCTTAATTCCCAGCTTTGAAGACCATGTTTATTTGCTCTCCCCGTAAGCTTCAACTTTTCCAACCCTGAAGCCTGCTGAGATCCAGGGCCTCATCATTCCAACCAAAACACTTTTCTAAATCTAGACCCACCCCAAATTCTAAGGATGAAATATATCACATAAAACATTAAAACTCCTCTAAAAGGTGTTAGACAGTGGTATTAACACAAATCCACATATATTTCCTTGACAGGAAAAGGAATATATGGATACAGA